TTTTGGCCTTTGGGCACTTCTACTCTACCTTAAGAGGCAAGACCGGCCAGGCACAGTTTCTCACCTGGAATCCCAACGCTTTGGGAAGCCAAGGTAGGTGGATCACGAGGTCAAGAGATTGAGACCATCCTGGCCAACATGGTGAAACCCTGTTTCTACTAAAAATACAAACAATTAGCTGGGCATGGTGTTGTGTGCCTGTAGTCCCGGCTAATCAGGAGGTGGAGCCAGGAGAATCGCTTGAACCCGGGAGGTGGAGGTTGCAGTGAGCCGAGATTGCGCCATTGCACTCCAGCCTGGGTGACACAGCGAGACTCCATCTCAAAAAAAAAAGAGGCAAGACCAACAAAAATTTAAACTGAAGTGATTGAGTCAGGAAATAATCTAGGAGCTCAAAGAAAACGTAGGAATCAACACTAGACTGATAAAATCAACACACCCTCAAATTCTCTGGAATCTGAGCTATACTTTGGAGGGGAGGCTGGGTTGAGAAGAGAGGTGGTAAGAGAGAGCAAAACTCACACTTATTGAAAACCTCCTGCCATGCACTTGTGAATTTAACCCATGAGAAAAGCTGGTTAGAATATAGAAGGCATGTGCAAAGGAGAAATAGAAGGTAAGACCAGGTATGTTGTTAAGGTGGGACCAGACAGCATCGGACCCAGAATGCCAGACTGAAATAATTTACAGCAGCATTGAAGGGATTATACCATAGGTGAGAATATATCAGCTGTATTTTCTGTGGCAATTTATCCTTTGCAGTATCACTAGAGAACATAATTGTGAAAATCAATTAAGAAACTACTATAATCATTTTGGTTTGAGATAATAGGAAATAAGTTGATGGCAGTGGATCAAAGAGAACACTGGTGTTTTTTGGTTTTGTTTTTTGTTTTTTTTGTGTGTGTGTTTTTTTCTTTTGAGACGGAGTCTTGCTCTGTCACCCGGGGTGGAGTGCAATGGCGCAATCTTGGCTCACTGCAACCTCCGCCACCCGGGTTTAGGCGATTCTCCTGCCTCAGCCTCCCAAGTAGCTGGTCTTACAGGCGCCCGCCATCACAGCTGGCTAATTTTTGTATTTTCAGTAGAGTTGGGGTTTCATCATGTTGGCCAGGCTGGTCTTGAGCTCCCAAAATGTGGGGATTACAGGCATGAGCCACTGTGCCCTGGCCGAGAGATCTTTTAAAGGGGATCAATAGGATTTGGTGTCTGAGATGTGGAAAATGAATTATATGGGGTCTGAATATATGAATAAATATATATAAATAATATATATACTTATATATAGAAAATATATATGGTTGTTTTGTTGTTGTTGAGACAGAGTCTCACTTTGTCACCCAGGCTGGAGTATACTGGCACAATCTCGGCTCAGTGCAAGCTCCGCCTCCCAGGTTCAAGCGATTCTCCTGCCTCAGCCTGAGTAGCTGGGATTACAGGCGCCCGCCACGACGCCCGGCTAATATTTTGTATTTTTAGTAGAGACGGGGTTTCATCATGTTAGCCAGGATGGTCTTGATCTCCTGACTGTGTGAGCCACCGTAC